TAGATAGAACCTAATCATAGAACTAGAGATTATTTTAATAATCAGAAATATAATGAACCATCAGAAAACTTAAAGTCAAGTTACTTCAAGGTTTCCAGAAAAGCAAAATTATTTTACAGAATGTAGTTACATGCAGTAATTTTCCAGGAGATGCCCCATATCCAATCAACTGACTTCTCAAAGTCCTGCGTTACTGCACAGGGCTATAACTTCTCAGCCTTCTGATGCTATGCTATTTTAGAGTTAAGTACTTTGAGATTACTTCCACGGTAGTCTAATCCAAACATCTATTGGATGGACACTTTGTATCATATGCTAGGGGGTAAAAATGGAATGAGATATCTAGTAGCCCAAAGATTTGGGATTTGTTTGACTAAATAAATGGAGAACAAAAATGTAATCAAGAACTCCAGGAAAAATGGATAAAAGCCAAATGGAGGTCCAAAGGTATCAGAGAAGTGGCAACAAAGAAACAGACCTGGAGTAGTGAAACTACCTACCTACCTGACAAAGGCACCTGAAGTGAGTGTTGGGTGCCCACAAACAGCTCCTGAAGACCTGGCCTTCTTGAAGGCTCTTCAGTCTTCTTTCTGCCTCCCTTTGACACCACTGGCTTTCTTCTAGAAGACTCTGTGTTCTTCTTGATGTTACTTCACCCACTCCCCTTTCCTTAGTGCCGTCTCCCAGTCTCCTCAGATCCCCAGGACATACTCTTTCAAATACTTCTCTTTCCTTCTACCTGCTAACTTTTGTTCCATTACCGTGGGGGAAAATTTTCTCCCTACTCATTTGCAAAGCAACACACTTGTCAAGAGCTACGTCCCAGTCCGAGCACGGAAGACTCAATATGAGAAAGATACTGATAATACATCTGTATAAGGGAAATAAGGTAACCTGTACCTTACTGGGAAGTGACCGTGGGAGCAATAAACAGATCATAGCAAACCCTAGACCCTGAGTGCCTAACACGTTCTTTAGAATTTCCACCTAATTCCCTGCTTTTCCTTCATCTCCAGCGTTCCGTTAACGGTATTTTTAAAAATATGTATTTGGGGCTTTTATTTGCTCACCAGTCATCCCTCAGAGGGAGTGGCTATGCTGCAATCCCTTCTCCTTTTCTTCACCCTGTCAGGATTTGCAGTAAAAAAAAAAAAAAAAAAAAAATTTGTATATGGATCTTACAGAAACATTTCCATTGAGGTGTTTTAAAACTGAAGGGTCGTAGAGATCATGTAATCCAAAATCTTCCTTCTAATAAATTAATTAGTACAAGGACACAAGTCCAATTCTCTCTCTCTCTCTCTTTTTTTTTTTTTTTAGAGAGATTTTTACTATAGGGAGCATGTACTTGCCAGAGACACAGAGAGAGAGACACTAAGAACTCACTCCCTGGGGGTGATAGCCATGCCGCAATCCTTTTCCACCCTCTTGGCATTTGGGGCACGCACACACAGGCACCCAACATGAGTCTCAAGCTCTGGATCTGGGACTCAAACCACAATCGGCCATGTGGGAGTCCAGTACCCTAACCACTACACCACCTGCTGACCCCAGTCCAGTTCCCTCTTAATGCTACTCTCGTGATTTATAGTTATGACATATTTAAAATGAAACCTGCAGGAAAGTCTTGAAAATACCATGGCATAATTTCCTGCAATAGCAAAATAGAGCTAACCAAGACTAAGGCGTCACCTTGTGACATAAAGGAGAAGCGGAGTGGAGTTGCTGCGAGCACAATGTGCCGAGGCTGGGGCGGGACCCCAGAATGGCCACTGGAAATCAGCTTTTACAAGTTGTGATTGGTTATGCAAAGGGCATCTGCCACTATTTTTCCCTCTCCCTAAGGCCTGTGGAAGTCTCAGGAGGTAGTGCTGAAGCTCAGATGTGACCACAAAGACACCTATATCCTCTGAGTGACAAGTGTCTTCAAAAATGGCTCCCGCTCAGATCCTCCACTAAAAAATCACCACCAGCAACTTGTGACTCTCTAGAAAAGATAGAGAATTCCATTCTTATTGAATAACCTTGTGCTCTAATTCTACATATTGGATATATCTACAGGAACAGAATATCCTGGATTAGTAAATTTCTAAATGTATGCATCTGTTTTATGGACTTAACTAATGTGAGTCCATTTCTGAAAGATCTGCTATTGGTTAGGCTGACATCAAGCTTTGGAGCCTTTGGTGAGGGTCATGCTCTGTGCCTTGCTTCTCAAATTGTGGCCTGGGGACTGGCAGGTGGCATGGTGGTTAAAGTGCTGGATTCCCACGTGGTGGACTGCAGTTCAAGTCCCAGACTCAGTAGCTTGAAAATCATGGTGTGTGTGTGTGTGTGTGTGTGTGTGTGTGCCCAAAATCCTGAGAGGAGAGTGAAGGAGAAGGGATTGCAGCGTGGTCATCCCCTTCCAGGGGTGAATTCTCACTTTTCCTTCTCTGTCTCTCCCCCTCTAGGGAGCACGTATACTTGATGGCAAGAAAATTTTTAAAAACAAAACAAAAAAAGTGTGGCCTGATGTGGCAGCCGTGGCATCACCAGGTAGCCTGTTAGAAATGCACATAGGCCTACTGAGTAGAACTTACATTTTAACAAGATCTCAGTGGCTCGCATGCATGCCCCAGGTGTTTCTAAAGTTCGAAAACACTACTCTTGGGCAGAGATTAGTAAACTTTTTCTGAAAAGGACCAAGTTGTAAATGTTTTAGATTCTGTGGGATATATATTCTTTATTGCAATTATTAAAAAATGTAAAACTCATTATTTGTTTTTTGTTTTTGTTTTTATTTGTCTCAGGGACAAATTACCCCCCTGGCCATAGCTTGCCCATCCTTGCTCCAGATCTTGGAAAACTCTATTGGAGTCAAGTCAGCCTGTGAAGCCAGCCATTCCTTACTGACTCACCCCAAATCCCATGTGCCAAGTGGAACTTTTCCTCTTTAAATTCTCAGAGATAGATTACTATTTTTTTTTTTTAGCAAACTTAATGAAGTACGATTCAGAAATTTTAAAATAATTAAGCATTGAATTAAGACATTAAAGGACTCCAGGAATTCTTGAACATAGACATAGAAGTCATTACAGAGTGAACTGGCTCCCTGATGGAACTGGGTCATAACTTGGGATGTCAGTGCTCTGGTCAAACAGTGGTTGCCTGGCTTACTTGACCAGGAGCAGCAATGAAGAAGAGAGAAGCCAGTGAGTCCTACCGTGACCAGGCATTCATGTGCACCGAGGACGATGGGCAAAGCTCACATAACAAGGTGCAGCAAGAAGCAGGCATACAGTAAGTTCCATTACCCGATTCCTAGTCCATGTTTATAGGCGCCGAATGGCAGGAAAAATGATTTTCTCTTATTCTCTGGCACCATTTGTGCAGAAGAATCTCCTCTTGGAGGCAGCCATGACCACCGGTCTGTACTGCCACTGCCTTGTTCTCAGTGAGTCGGAACTGTTTTGGCGACCACCAGTGGGCTTCTTTTGCCCAATCCATAGACAATTGACCCAGCAATTCTACTGACTAATACGAAGCGAGTAGGTGATCTCAGAAATGTATTCTTAAATTATTAGATCTTTTCATCTCGGATGAACTAACAAAAAAAAAGTTGCAATCGTATACGTTAAGTAACAACTTCAGATCATTGTAAAGCTTGCACATGTGGCATGCTTAAGTTTTTAGACATTCATTTGACAATAATAGTTTTATAATCTGCAGCAATTTCTAGCTTTCTCACTAAATCATTACATAAATTTCTAGTTTTATCCTGTTCTAAAACTTCTGCTGTGCAATATCAGAATCACCCGAGGGATTTGTTAAACTTGCCCATGGACAGGAGGCTCCCCGTGAACAAAAGAATTGGAATATCTAGTGGTGAACCCTGACATCTTGATGTCTTAGAAATGCATCAGTGTTTACCAAATGAGGGTAATATAATTTATTATTAAACACTGCATATTTTCCTAGACATTTTGTAAGACGCTTTTTGCTTTGAAATTTTTAAATAAATTAGAAATGCGGGTGCTGTGGTGGTTAAGGCTGGACTCCCACACGGCCGACCGGATGGCTTGCTTTCTCACTTTCTCTCTCTGTCCCTCTCTGGTAAGTACACATGCCCTATAGCACATTTAAAAATAACAATAAATAAAATTAAGAAAAAAATGCTATTGAAAGAAAAAAATCTTAAAACTATGGGGAGTCCTCATGAAAGTTACTTCTAGAATGTCCTTAGGGTTAGTACCAATGCAACTGAACGTTGTGAGCCTTTTTTTAAATTGGCTTTAGATATTGATCCATTATGAGTTAAATATAACCCAACAGGCACTTATGCCTTAATGTCATGGAAATGTGGCGGTTTCATGATTCTCAACGCCCTCTTGAAAACTGTGGCTGTGCTGGCTGCTCCTGCCAGGGTAGCCATCACCAAAACGAGTTCCTGAGACGAACTTAACTTTGCTTCTATTGTTAGTTTTCATTTTCACACTCGGTTAGTAATTATCTCAATTCCACCCAAATATGAGACCATGCTTAAAAAAATAAAAAAAAATACTCAGATTGTGCCTCTACCATTACCCCAGAACTTTCTGAAGTCATTCTCACAGAGGAAGAAATAGGCTGTCCTCTCTCATTCTAAAGTTCGAAAACACTACTCTTGGGCAGAGATTAGTAAACTTTTTCTGAAAAGGACCAAGTTGTAAATGTTTTAGATTCTGTGGGATATATATTCTTTATTGCAATTATTAAAAAATGTAAAACTCATTATTTGTTTTTTGTTTTTGTTTTTATTTGTCTCAGGGACAAATTACCCCCCTGGCCATAGCTTGCCCATCCTTGCTCCAGATCTTGGAAAACTCTATTGGAGTCAAGTCAGCCTGTGAAGCCAGCCATTCCTTACTGACTCACCCCAAATCCCATGTGCCAAGTGGAACTTTTCCTCTTTAAATTCTCAGAGATAGATTACTATTTTTTTTTTTTAGCAAACTTAATGAAGTACGATTCAGAAATTT